GGGGTGCATTACCTGCCTATTAATCCCAACAGGCAAACTGGAGCCACTGGTGGCTCGACTCATGGGGGCCACCACAGCCACTCGGGTAGGGGAAGGTGCCGACTGTCTTTTCTTGGGTGGCAATGCTGGTGGGGGACTGAAACAGACAGAACATCCAGGCAGACAAAGCCATGCACACAGAAGCGCTTTAGTGCCGTGGGAGATACTGGATGTGGGGTTCTTGCATCACCAGACTCTCCACACCCTCTTTTCATTACTTCAACTCCTGCCCATCCCCCTTCTGCCAAAATAAAACTCATAAATACCAAAAGAACAATAAAGAACAATCTTTTCTTTTTCTTTCATAATAAATCATAGCTGGTTTCACTGGGCAAGCCTATAGAAGAACCCAGACAGCGTAACAGGGGAGGGTCGGGTGGAGGCCTGCCGCCCCAGGAAATGCCCCTCCTGAGGAAGGCCCAGCCTCCAGAGCCTGCCCCACCCCTTCCTGCTCACTCTACCCTGCGTTCCTCACATCCAGTCATGAAGGGAGGGGCACTAGAAAAACAGGCAAATCATTACCTGTTATCAACCACCCGAATACCGGGCAAAGGGGGCTTGGGGGGTGCCACCTCTTCATCCGTGGCATCTGGGAGGGGCTCGGCGGGCTGTGACACCCCCGCCGTCTTGGTTAGGATCTCCATCTCTCGGTCTGACAGGGGGAGCTCAGATGGACTGGAGGATGGAAAAGAGCTCAGAGTTAAGGAGGCTGTGGTTGGGACGGAGCACATACAGGTCCCCAGAGGGTTAACATTTAATTAAGGCAGGGGCTGAGGACAGGTGCCCTGGACGCAGGGCCCTGGGAGTTCAAGTGTGGTCTGATCACTAACAGACCACTGGAGCTTGGCCGTGTCCCCCACCTCTGCACCTCTGTGTCCTCATCTACAGGTGATCTGAAGGCCCTTTATAATGCTCCACATTCATGTTCTACATTCTACCAGGGCACAGTATAGAATGAGGTGAGTTGTCACAACTGTCCATGTCGCCTGTGGTTTACTTCCTTGATCAAGCAGGTGTGCTCTCAAGTCAGATGCCCCATATCCAAACAAAGTGAAGTCATTCAGGAAAAGAACGGGTGAATGTCCCTGGACACTCTCACACTCTCCTCAGAAACAATCATGCGGAATCTTAAAGTTGGGAGGAGGTGATACTTCAAGGCCGTGTGAAGTGTTCACCCTAAACTTACTACTGAAATCAGAATGTGGGCCTCAAGCAGCCTCCCAGCTGCTGCCCATGTGGCACCAACCTTTCTCAAGTGTAGACTCTGCCACCAAATGTGACTCCACCACAGGACGGTCGGTCAGCACTTACCCGTCAGGCTTGCCGGCCGGGGAACTGGGCTTCACTGGGCTCGTTGGCGATGGACGCCCCTGCTTCTCGATGGTCAGTCTGACCAGCTCCTGCATCCACACAAGAGAAAGGCAACGATTTCTGATAAGGCAGCAGTGGCTTGTCTGCCTCCAACGTGGGACTTGTTTCTGTGCCCACAGATCCCCCTCGTTGCATAAAGACACCAAGTACTATTTGCCTTAGGTAATCGGCACGGCTTCCCAAATGTCCTCTGCCATCCAAAATACCTTCATTGTGTGTCAAGAAGTTTCACATACATGAAGGCACTTCCTCTTGGGAGGGGAAATGGCAAACCCTATGGTCTCAAAATGACTAAGTTTATCATGCTAATTAAACATCTGGTAGAACAGATTCCCTGTCAATTTGTGGAGGAAGAACTATGTTTTTAGTTCTCTAAAGCCATTAAATTATGTGCACAATGATGGCTTTGGGTGGTTTCCCAAGAAGAGCTGACCATGGGTGTGGTAGCAGCTGGGACACAAGGGGCTGGCTGGGGTCCTTGTCAGTGGAGAGGTGTTAAGGGCATATTAACAGGTAGAGAGATGATTCAGAGCCATTAAACTAGAAAAAAATAAAAAAGAAAAGGTATTTTTTGTATTATAGCAAACACAGGGGACAAAAAGGGAAGAGATGGGGGCCCATTTCTTTCCTTCTTCCTTTTTTCAGTTTGATGAATGTTGCTGACTGCATCTGCCCATGAGGGAACCACTAGCAACATACATGACATTTCTGTTACCTTCCCAGGCAACTTTCCCCACCCCCACCACTTTTCACTACTATTTTCATGGATTATTGACCTGTTCTAGAACTTGATGTAAGTGGAACCACACAGTACATACACTTTTGTGTCCATCTCCTTTTTTCATTTTTTGAGACAGAGTCTCACTTGGTCACACTCAGTAGAGTGCCGTGGTGTCTTAGTTCACAGCAACCTCAAACTCTTGAGTTCGAGTGATCCTCTTGCCTCAGCCTCCCAAGTAACTGGGACTTCAGGCACTCGCCACAATGCCTGGCTACATTTTTTTTAGAGATGTGGTCTTGCTATGGCTCAAGCTGGTCTTCAATTTGTGAGCTCAGGAAATCCACCCACCTCGGCCTCTCAAGTGCTGGGATTATAGGCATGAGCCACCGCACTTGGCCTCATCTTTTTTTAAACAGATGTATGAATATATAAGTCACATGCCATAAAATTCATTCATTTAAAGTATACAATTCAGTGGTTTTTGGTCTGTTCACAGAGTACTACATCCACCGAGACAATCACATTTAGGACTTTCCAGCACCCCAAAAAGAAACTCTGTGCCCACTTGTAGTCCCTCACTTTCCTCTAGCCCAGCTCCTGGCAACCCCCAACCTACTTTGTGTCCCACACAGACTGCCTGCCTGTCTCTTGCTCAGCATAGATAGCCACGCTTCTGTGTGCACAAGTTGTCTCCCACATACGCATAAACCACCATTTCTTTATCTATTCTGTTGGCGGGCGTCTGGCTAAGACTTACTAGTGCTTCATCAGGGGTTTTAGGCCTCCATCACCAACAGCCATTTCTTAAGTTACAGAGGAGGCAATGAGGGCTGCCAGCGGGCCACACGGCAGTGTCTCCCCAGATCAGGGATCAGAAAGCCCCTTCAAGCTCAAAAATACACACGTTAGAAAGTGCAGCACGTGTTAGAAGGTGACAAAGACTTTGTTAGCCGACATCCTTCCCAGAGCAAGGGTCTTTCAAAACCACAGAAACTAGAGGAAAATGAACGAACCAAAATAAATATTAAAGACAACATTCACAAATGTAAATATCAATGGAGTCTCATAAGAGACTCTTCAGCTTAGATGGTAATAAAATAGAAACTTATAGGCATGATAGATGAGAACCTTACCTTGGATAGCCTTTCTAGAAGATAATACCATATATATCAAAAGCCTTAAACATCTGCATTACAAGGATTTTGCTCCAGAAAAATGTCATGAATGCGTGCAAAGAATAAGCCACAAAGGATGGCCATCACAGCATTATTCATAATATTATGTATTATTAACGCAGTAATAGTTCAGTACTCCATAATTAAATATTTAGTAAGTCATCATAGAACCACACAATGGGGCCATTATGTTGCCATTAAAAACAGAGACACAATGAGAATATATGGCATGGCACGGAAAGATGTTACAACATGATAGTAAAGTGGAAAAATAGCCTGGTGCTATGCTGGTATATGGTGTATGTTTTGGAAACAAAACCAAATCAAGAACATATGTAACATAGCTAGGCACCGATAGTGCCAGCTACTCAGGCGGCTGAGGCAACTGGAACACCCGAGCCCAAGAGTTTGAGGTTGCTGTGAGCTATGACGCCACGGAACTACCCAGGGGGAAAGAGTGAGACTCTGTCTCAAAAAAAAAGAAAAAGAACATGTGTTAACAGAAAAAAAAATGGCTATGAAACATCCATTATCTTGGTTTTTTTCTCTTCATTTTCTAAATTTGCTAAAATGAACATATATTACTTCTGAAATAATAATTAAACACCCCCCCCCCATAAAGGCATATACAAATAAGCTGGTTCAGTGTTAATTTACCCCAGTCTGTAACTCTAAAAGAAACAAGGAGGGGGCGGTGCCTGTGGCTCAAAGGAGTAGGGCGCCGGCCCCATATGCTGGAGGTGGTGGGTTTAAACTCAGCCCCAGCCAAAAACTGCAAAAAAAAAGAGGAGAGATCTCTCTGAGCCCAGTACTGGCAGAAGAAAGAGAAGTTTAACGCTTGTCTGTCACTACAACTTAGGAGTATTTAAGGAACAGCTATGGAGCTGGTGATTACCAACAGGACAAGATGGAGAGATAAGGGACCTGAAAGCCAGCCCACACCGAAGAGCATTGTCACTTTAGAGGGAGCCAGAGCACAGTGCCCCGGATGCCCCGTTTGCAGGTTCACTTTTCTTCAGAAAAGGACAAAAGGACAGAGAGGTCCACCTGCTGATGCAGGGAAACCTTCCACTGATTCTTTATTGGTCCACAAGCAATTATAATTAGGTTGCCACTAATTAGGTTGCCTTCTAGACAGGCAGCTGTGAACTCAACTAGTGAATGATGGCACAGAATCTTGGACTGACAGGCTCACACGTGGAGGCATACACCTGAATTCCAGGACAATGTTATGATTGTAACAACTCTCTCTTCTACAAGTTTGCTGGCCTAGGTTTGGAAAGAATGTAAAGAGGTGGGCAGCACTTTTATTTACTACAGCCTTACTGCCTCAAAAGAAGGTCGTAGTCTGCACTCGCCTTGACCATCATAGGCAAAGGGGAACACCTGACACGTGCACACGCCTGGCCACCACCAGCCTCATTTCACTGCAAGCTGACCATTGTAACTTGGCCAGAGCCAAGCACCTCCTGGAGGGAGAATTTCTGAGAGGGAGGTCAAACTTTAATCGTCTTGAAGCAAAGGTGATAAAAGGCTGTTTTTCTACAGGCTGTGACTATAAACTACCAGTTCATCAGGGGTTTGGGTTTGCTTTTGGAGACATGGTCTTGCTTTGCCATCCAGATAGGAGTGCAAGTGGTCCTATCATTACTCACAGCAACCTCAAACTCCTGGGCTCAAGTGATCCTCCTGCCTCAGCCTCCCTAGGAGCTAGGACTATAGGCATCCCCCACTAAGCCAGCTAATTTTTCTATTTTTTGTAGATACAGAGTCTTCCTATGTTGCTCACACTCATACTCCTGCCTCAGATTCCTAAAGTGCTAAGATTACAGGTGTAAGCCACCTCGTCCCACCTGAAAATCAGCTTTCAAAAGCCAAAGAGATTTGAAAAAGTTATATTTCCAAATACATAATACAGTACTTTATTTCCAAGTTCATTTAATCAATATTGAAAGTGGTCATAGACGTGGAAGGATTAAATGATCTCTAGCAAGTCACAATACAGTTCTGCTGTTCAAGTCATACAGAAGCGCAATCTCTTCCATTCTCCCAGCTTCTCCTTGGTGTTGAGACAAGGCCACTGCCTGGCAGAGGGGACATGCACCACATAAGGCAGGAGCTCCCTACCAGGTGCCCACAGTGCCACCAATTTCATATGACTGCCTGCCACAAAGGTCCCCACGCACACACACAGCACCACAAAACATACATTTTTCAATTCTAGCCACTGAAAAGCAGCAGTGACCAGCCAATAGCAATGAGCAGCCTTAGTACTCGGATTATAGTATCTAAATACTTTTTCCTAAGAAAGGGAAACAGGGTTTCTTAGAATAATAGTTGATGCCTAGTCTGTGATAAGAAATGCACAAAAGGACTAATAACTCAATAATAAAAAGAACCCCCAAAATAAAAAATGGGCAAACCCTTGAACAGATATTTCACAAAGAAGATATCCAAATATGACCAATGAGCACCTGAAAAG